TAATTTTCATTGCTTGCTTTCAAGTCCTTAATCGGACATCCACCAGCCATGCTAAACTGGTGAGTAGTGCTATCCTTAAACAGGGCTGCTCAGTCAATTTTGGAGTAACTGAATCTTACCTCTGCTTCCATAGAACAACTTCATATCTACCAAAGGCTACCAGTGTGTAAGTCAGCAGCTATATACTCCCGTCCATCAAACCTACACGTGTTGCCACTTCACCATTAAACTTGAAAAACCAGAGTAACAATAGATGTTGAGAGGTCAACAATTCCATGCTAAGAATTCTTTTGTATGGCTTGCACAACAGACCACACCAACAATAATCCCAAAGACAAGCATGTGCAACATATCTGGATTAGTACTAAGATGTTATATCAGTTTACCTTCTGGACAGATACCTTATCAAAGGCTCAGGGTATTTCACACCCAGTGAGCTAACCATATGCTTAGATAACATCCCACGTATTTGAATATCATGCATATGTACACATGTAAGTATTTGGAGTTATATTTAGTTATATAATTAAACTTTTCATAAGAATTGAAATGTGTTTAGTTGCATTTTGTATAATTTTGTTAGCTATTTTTAAGCTTTACTTGGTAAAGTTGTATTGTTTAACATTCTTGGTTGTCTAAGAGTAAGGATTTTCAGTTTCCATTTCCTATAGTTCCTTATAACTATTTTGAGTTAGTGTTAACCTTATTTGTACTTTTTACTGTTGTACTTGTTCTTGTTTCAGAGGATCTTTCTGTCTTATGGCTGGTGTTAGGTCACTTTAATTTATGATAGTTGCTCCAATCTGTGAACATGCATTAGGACCTTGAATAAGTTCTTGCTATTTTCCAACAAATGGCATTCCCAGAACTGCGTGCATGTAGTTTCAGATGGTGACACATCTATAAGGAAGTACTATAAGCAAGCTTGAAATTCAGTGTATGTTATTTTGCCGAAGCATAAACAACTTTGTTTTTCATAGTGTTAAACATGTCAGATTTTGTTCCAAAGAAAGTGTATTTGTGGGGAATTTTACTGCACTACTTTATTCAAAAGAAATCTGAAGCTGAAGCCCACAGAATTCTTGTTGAGACTTACAGCAAACATGCTCTGTTGGAAACTTAGACACTTCAAAAATAATGATTATGATGTTGAAGATAAAGAACACACTGGCACACCGAAAAAGGTTGAAGACAAAAAATTGGAGGCATTACTTCATAAAGACTCATGTCAGGTACAAGCTGAATTTGAAGATTCATTAGGAGTTGATCATACAACAGTTTTGAAATGTTTGAAAGCATTAGGAATGATTCAAACGCAAATACATTAGGTACCATACAAGTTGAAACCAAGAGACGTTGAACAGCATCTTGTCATGTGTGAACAGCTGCTTCAACAGCAGAAAAAGAAATGTTTTTGCATCATATCATGACCAGTGATGAAAAGTGGATACACTACGATAACCCTAAACATAGAAGAACATGTGGTAAGCTCGGCCATGCATCAAGATCAGTGGCAAAGCCAAATATCCATGGTTCAAAGCTTCTGCTCTGCATTTGGTGGGATCAGCTGGATGTAGTTTATTATGAGCTGCACAAACTGATCAAAACCATCACGGGAGATCACTATCAACTATAATTGATGCATTTGAGCTGAGCAGTGAAGAAAGAACAGTAACTACACAAGCAGAGACACAACAAAGTGATTTTGCAACATGACAATGCTAGGCTACATGTTGCAAAACATGTGAAAACCTACTTGGAAATGCTTAAATGTGAAGCCCTATCCCTTCTCCCCAGTATTCATCAGACATTGCCCCATCCGATTATCACTTGTTACGATCAGTGGCAGATGGCCTGGCTGAGCAGCACTTTCATTCTTATGAAGATGCAAAAAAATGGGTTGACTCAAGGTTGACCACAAAAGACATGTGGTTTTTCCAACATGGAATTCAAATGCTGCCGGGAAGATGGGAAAAAGTAGTAGCTAGCGATGGACAATACTTTCAGTGACAGGATTTTTTACTAATTTTTATAAATAAAACATTACTTTTCATGAAAAATCAGTGAGAACTTATTCAAGGTCCTAATAATAAGTTGTGGTTTTTGTGTTTTTTTAAATTATTTTTTGATTTAGTGTTTTTTGTGGAATGGAGGTTTCTGATTGAGAGAATGCTGTAGGAGTGTTTTGTTGCCTTGATGATTTCATTTGTTGGGATTAATTTAGTTATTGAGTTTGGTGCAGATATTCTTAGTATTTTCCTTAACTCATTTACATAATTTGGGAGTTGTTCTGGTTTAAGGCTAAACAGTTTTTTGCACCCATGATATTCATAGCTGGTGTTATTTGAATTGGCTGTATTTGAATACATAGTTTTGTTTATTACTTTAGACCAGAGTTTGTTAACCTGGCTGATATTGCTCATCAGTAGGTGATTTCAACTATTGGATGGGCAATATAGGATTTTATGTATTAAAAAGGTATTTCAATGCTTCCCCCCAAAAGATATTCAAAGGAAATATGCAAAGAACCTGTATATATAAAAAAGGAGGCTGAATAGAAATAATCGGGTCACACTCCTAGATAAGATATAAATATCCCTGCAAACAAGTATTTTGTTATTTTCTATATTTTTTAAAAGGGTCATCAGACAAAATAACATTTTTAAAACCAAAAATAACAAAAAAAATATTTGTTCAATTTTTATTAGTTTATTTTATATTCTTTTATGAACAAAAACTGTTTAATTTTTTTGTCAATACTTGCAACACTAACCCTAACCATAAAATTAAATTATATATATATATATAGTTTTCAATGCTCAAGTTGATGAACTAGTAACAAACTTTTATCAAACAATTTTGGCATGCTTTTGAATATTTACTATACAAGTGGCCAGTGGAAAGTTTTTCCATGTAAAAGTGGGTGATGATGCAACAAAGGTTAGAACCGATGCTTTATACTATTTTTCAGGCCTCTGGAAATAGTATACATCATACTTGGTATTTCCGTTTCCATTTTATTTTTACAAATTTCACATCCTTTCAAGTCAGTTGAGTGGCTTCCTTGACATTTTAATTATCTTTGCAGGGTCATAAAAATTTCATTTGAGCAATAAAAGCAGACATATTAAAAAGCCATTCATAACAAAATTATATATTCCTGTGAATTGGTAATACCAAAATATAATGATTAAAAACAGATAATATTGATTAAAAAAACAATAGTGTGCCCAGTCCTACAGCCTGGTCATATTCTTGGAACTGAGTAAGGCTAATTCTGATTACCACTTGAAGGTTTTGGAATGGGTATAAGTCCTACCAACCATCTCTCTGTAAGTAGAAGTAGTTGGTAAGCTTAAAAGGTAATTATTAGCCTTTTAATTTTATATTTTTTTGTTTGGATATATAACATTAGTCTGGGATATCATTTTTATTACTATTTTTTTTAGTCACTGTGCACATTTATTTTGTCCTCTATTTTTGCTCTGACTGATAAACTGCTTTAGCTGTTTTTAATCATTTCTTTAAATGTCGGTATCAATATATTTTTCTTGCCTCTCTTTTTTGTTATAAATTTAATTTTATGTTTGCTTTTATTATTCCGATAAAATTTTATTTTTTTAACTCTCAAAGTTGTTTTCTGGACGGTCTCTGTTACTCTCTCCACATTTACTGCATTTAGTACTCAACACTACCTGCATTTATTTACCGTATAAAAATTAAAATAAAATAAACATTATTTATAATTTTAATTTATGAAGCCTACGGATTTAAAAAAAAAAAAAAGTTTACTTATTTTTTAGCGCTATCGTTTTTTAACTCCAGTCATCTAGCACAAAATTTTACATTGGAAATTCAATATTTTTTACATTCATATTCCATAAAAGTGTTTCCTCGTATTTTTTTATTTTTTTTTTAATAAATATCATTTTTCTTTTGTAATGGACAACACCGTTGATTAGAATCTTTACAATTAATTTTTCATGTGTCAGATGCGAGTTTGGAGTGGAAGATGAAGTTGAAGTCAGTACTTTTTTTGCCACGTGAGTAAATTATCCATTTTATTTTATGCACCACTTAATTTTCATTAAATTTTTTAATTTTTAACAGTTTAAAAACTTTATTATACTACTAATAAAAAATAACTAGCAGTAAATTAATTCAAATAATTTTTTATTAAAATAACGAATAAAAGTTGATTTTTTTTTTTTTTTACCGCATTTTCCATAACATTTTTATTCTTAAGCAACATTTCCCCACCCGGAGACTAAGGATGAGAAGAAAAAAAAAGGGGGGGGGATTCAAACGATACGAGTGATGTTGACTGAAAGATTGTCTATGCGTTGTCTCCTATCAAAAAATTAATACCAAAATTGACATTACAGACATATCCTGCTGCAAATTAAAACCTGTAGTGTAGTGTAAAGAGAAAAATATTTGTGAAAACTATCTCTACTATGCCTTTTTTTTTTCTTTTTAAAAAAAAAATCATACAATTTTTCAGACCCTAATTTTTATAACTTATTTATATTTAAATGCGAAATAACGACAAATGCTAACAATCATTAATTTATAAATGATCCATTATTGCTTATAAACAATAATATATTGTTTATAATCGAAACTTTTGAAAATGGAGACGAAAATACTTTTTTTTTTATTTCATTTGTATTTTTTTAACTGTGAATGGAGGTGAGGATCTTTTTTGTTGTTTGTTAGTTAATTTTAACGTCTTTTTAATCTGCTTAAATAATAATCAAAAGAAGACAATAAATAGCAAATGAAAAATGCATAATTTTTTAATAATTTATTTAGCGATAAAAAAGAAACCAATTTTGTTTTATGATTTTTTTATGCAGAACATCGTCGATCAGTTATCCCATGATTAAATCCAAGAAGAATCAGTTAAATTTCAAAGGAAATCAAGACTGAAATTTTAAATTTAAATCAGTTAAAAAGTTGTGTGTGTATATATATTATAAATAAATAAATTTCCTTACCTTTTGTAGACAGTGACGATGAATACCGGAACAAAAACGTCCTTAACATTGATACGTCCTTACCGGAAGTGGAAATCACACACCCGTTTAATGACGTCATCACAAAACGTGTCATTGTTTCTTTAGTTACACTTCAAACGCATGTGGCACTTAATTTTAACTTTTTAAATGTTTAGCCATCATTTAAAAAGTTAAATTAATAGCTAATAGTACTTTCTGACGTTTCAAGTTGGTGATAAGTCTTACGTCTTATGGAAGTTTAATGCAGCAGGTAGAATATCTATATTTTCAGTCTAAGAACCCAGGCCTTAGATATGGAGAGTAATTGGTCTTGCTGCACATGTGTTAGCAAGGGATTTGAATTCAGAATTATTATTCTGTTCACTTCAATTGACTACCCTCCCAATCATCACCACTAGTGCTATGTTCTCAAAAGCGTTAGTTTAATTTTCCCCAGTTCATTCTTTTCTCTCTTTTGTTTCTTCCCACCCTCTGATTTTATTTTCTTCCTTTTCGAGGTTTGCTAAAATAGCACCTTAGCAAGAAACATTCAGCATTCATTGACTGAACTATTAGGATTACTGTTGGCAGAAATTTATAAAATCTTTTCTTAAAACAGTTTTCAGAAAATTAGAATTTTCAAGTTGACTAACTGTTATTGCTCTTTCTAGTATTGATGATGTGTTTGTAGGATCATCCACAACAAACCAGCCTTACCTCTTTTTAGGAAATGCACTCTTCCTATCTGGTAAGTAACAGCCTACTTCCATACATTATAACAAGTATTCATTGGTCAATCACCTCCAATCTTGCTTGCTGATTGGTCAGTTCCGACCAATCAAACCGCCTGCACGCGACTAATCTGTTTTTCCCGCGTTCTCCGTTTGAGCCTCCCACGTGGTACATGACCATTATATAAACCGAACACATGTGAACTCTCTGAGTAGCTTTCTTTTCATTCATTTCTCTCGCACGTCTCATACCTTGCTACCAAGTGCCAAGATGTAACCTTCACCAACTTCCGTCTTAGTCATTGCTGACCAGACGTTAAAGACAATTACCAATATTCATGAACTCTGAAATCACTCCTGAACTTTTATCAACTTTAGAACTCACAATTCCAAACTTTATTCTTCTAAATTACAAGTTCAATAACTTCTTAATATGAACTCCGGTACAAATATTACCAAGTCAAAGGGACACAACTCTGTCCTACCTTTTCAGTTCGCATGCATGTACATCAAACATTAATAAATTTAATTGTTATGTTTTGGAATCATTCAGTTCAGTTTTGTATTTTATTCTATGTGCTATTTACGTCAAGTATAAATTGCATTGCTTTCACGCATTGTCCTTAATCTCATCTTTCCTAGCCCAAGTTAAATATTGGTAACTCTATATCAACATATATTGATGACCGCGACATTCGTCCTTCAACGTTCACAACAACAATGGTAATACAGCCATTACATATTTGGTGATTCTGTCGGAATTAAACAACAATGGTAAGATAAACCACTACATGTTATATAATGAAATTGGGTTGTGTCCCTTTTGTTGTTATTGTTGGTTTCCTGCTGCAAACTATGGCAAGAGTGTTTTGAGGTTGGAGGAAACACCTAAGTGATAGCTCTCCAAACAGCTACAGGGGTAATAGACAGAGAAAGGAAATGAGATGAGAGGTAACAAAATGACACTGCCTCAGAAGGCACAGCAACTTTAGGGAAAAAATGCCCATGAGACAACTTCACAGAACACTGAGCCTTGCCCACTGCTGTTTTTTCCATCATTTATATTAACAGGAGACTTGGCAGAAACCCAGATCTAGACAAGTTGTAAAGAGGCCTGTATCTGAACATACCAAGCTGTCCCGCTCCTAATGAAGAAAACCTGGATGTAACTGGTTTTGACAGATATGTCCACATGTTATATCTTCCTAGCCCTAATGGTATACTGTTGTAAACCCATATCAGCTACAAAAACAAACCCTGTAGAATTGATGATGGGTAGAAAAATAAGGACTGTACTGCCAAGTCACGTAAAAAGACTGAAATTAACGGATTTGGAGCATGTAAGAGTGATAGACTCTAAAGAAAAAGATAGATGCAAAATAATTATAATTGCTGTTCAAGTGGGAGTTAAAACTGATCAGTAGAAATCTACAAGAATCACCACAGTAGCAGATCACCAGAATAGGCGATACAGTATAAAATCAAGTTTTGGAAATATCTGTCACAACAGAAGACATTCGGTATGTTGATGATGAATGAGAGTTCCTATCAAGAAGGGAAACTCCACCAACCAGTAGAGTCCCAATTCAAAGTTATTATCAAAGCAATTAAAATTAAAACTAACACAGAGACCTCACATGCAATCAGCACAGGTGATTAGACAATACTTCCAACCAGGTTGTTTGGAAGCCCAAATGCATAAATAAGAGAGAAAAGAAAGGGAAAAAATTGAATAGTAAGGTAAGAATGACCAACTATATTTTAGTTTATTTACTCAGACACTTGTGCCATAAATAATGCTTGGGTGATCATGTCTCTTTCAATTCTTGACTCACTAGGCAGAAGATTTTTTCTGTTGCCATTTCTTTCTGTGGTAAACTAGTTGCCAACAAAGGCTATAGGATCCAGTCTATCCTGCTATTCAACCCATAGCTGGAAGAAGACTCTAAACTTTGTAACCAATTCCTCATACCCAGAAGGCCTTCTTATTCCAGTTGTCAGGGATTCTACTGTATTATTATCTTCTCTTCTAGTTACATGTGCTACCGATTTCTGTGGTTGTTGCTGTTAGAAATCTCCAAGTGATATGATTTTTGTTATTTGGTAAAGTTCATCATAATTTTCTAGCATCAGAGTGTAATTTGAGTAAAGATTATCTAAAGACCTCAGGGATTAATTCATTTGAAGCCATTTTTAATCATTGATCTGAGAAAATGTTTCCTACAGATGATAATTTAGACATTTCTGAATGATTTGGACACCATGCATGACTTCCATGTAAGAGTTTAATTATTGGAACTTTTATCAAAATATCATTATCTCAACAAAAATTATTTCAGTCTAAAAATATTTTTTGGTTTTAAATAGCCTGCAAAATGTTGATAAGCTGCCAAAAATAAATTAATAAAAAATACCTTTTGCTTAAGGTAGTGTGGAAAGTTAACAGCATCATTATATTGTTATTTTCCCTTCTATTTACATGTACTGTAATTATTGCTGTTGGAAGTGTTCATGTGATATGGTTTTTGTTATTTGGTAATTTTTCATTTGTTTTTCTTTCATTTTATTTTGTTGAATGTAGCTTATTGTAACACCCTTGCTTTTATTACCATTTTAAGATTGTAACTTAAAATGAACATAAAAATTTATTTTAAGACTGTCATTATAAGCTTATTTTCTGAGCCATGCCATTTATTTATAATGTTATGAATATGCATACACCTGGGTTCCTCCTCACAGTAATATGATTGGCTGGTGTCAGCCATAAATACAGATTGATGTGGAGGTACATGACGATGCCTATTGTCTTTGCCTATTGCCTACCACTACGACAAGGACCAGTCCATTACGGTTACCTTCTAGATTGTACCACCTGGTTACAGTAGTCCAAAACCACTTTGCTACTTCGACAAATATATCCCTTTTCGAGACATATCAGTTGGCAACGAGATTCAAAACGACTTTACAAGTTAAAACAAAAAAAAAATATACAGTTGACAACACTTATTAGCAAAGAACGTTAGAAAGACTTGTTCAACACTTACAGAAAGTAAGTAATTTTTCCCTCATTTTTGTTTTAACACTTATTAACGAGGAACGTTAGAAAAGGAAAAACTTGTGCAACGCTTACAGAAAGTGACAAATTGCCCCCCATCTTGTTTGGACTTAGAAAATTTTATTGTCTACATAAATTGGAGCAAAATTTTTTCTTGTGGATACATTGGCAGAATGGAACAAATTGCGGAATTAACTAAGGTGCTACAAATCACTTTACAGCAACAATTCCAACAGCAACAACAATTCCAACAACCCCAATTCCAACAACAACAACAATTTATTCAGCAACAAGAAAGGTTTGAAAAGTTATTCAAACAACAGGCAAAAGACAATAAAGCACTTTGGGAAGACATTATCAAGGACAACAAAAGATTCGGGTTCTAGATTTTTTCTGCTGAAGGAATTTCAAATTCACTCTCTGAATTTAAATATGACCCTGACAGTGGTTCAACATTTCCGGCTTATTTTCATAGGTTTGAAACAATATTTATGAAAAGATGCGAACAATGGTCTGACAAGGAAAAAATCACTCTATTGTTGCAGAAGTTGGGAACAGAAGAATATACAAAATACGCGAATTTAATCCTCCCAAAGAAGTCAGAAGAAATTACATTCAGTGAAACAGTAGAAATTTTGTCAAAAATTTTCGATAAAAGAGATAGTCTGTTTCATATATGATACAAGTGTCTAAATATCGTAAAACAAGAGGATGATGATTTTGTCATGTATGCAAGTATGGTTAACGCACAGTGTGAGGCATTTAAATTAAAGGAATTGTCAAGCAACATGTTCAAGTGTCTAATTTTTGTGCAGGGTCTAACAACACCGGAGGACAAAGAAATTAGATCAAGAATCCTCACTATCATGGAACAGGATACAAAGATTACGCTACAAAAAATAACGGAAGAATGTCAGCGACTTATAAACATAACAAAAGATAATACTCAGATTGAGAAGAAGAGCATTTCGCGAGTACAACAGAAGGACAACAGAAGTGGATACAAAATAAAGACAGAAAAATTATATGCAGTTCATGTGGAGGACAGCATATAAAGAATGATTGTTTCTTTAGGGATAAAATATGTTTTAATTATGGGTGTGTATGCCATAGAATTTCCCATTGTCAGGCAAAACAGAGAAAAGTAAAAGCAAAGTTTCAAACAAAGGTGAACATAGTTTTGTCTAAAAATGAAATTGAGGACGGTCAAAGAAGAAAATACCTCAGTGTAAAAATAACCGTAAAATTATTTCTCGGTTCAGG